AATCCCTCCAAAACAAATCAATAATAAATTGGTCATTTTCAATCCACGACTGTTTGTGGGACACTGCTGTGCGCAATTGGCTGCCACGTTTCGCCCACAAATATACAGTTAATTCACTTTACAGTCTATTCTGTGAAGCACTTTGAGATGTCGAGAAGACGTGAAAAGCGCTATATTAAATGCAAGGATTATTATTATAAATCCCTTCACGCCCAAGCACCTCCTTATCTCTCTGATCTCCTTCTACCTCTCTCCTTTGCTTGTTCACTCAGCTAAATTGGTCTTATTAAAGGTTCACTGCCCTACCCAAATCCATCCATTGGGCGGAGCTTTCAGATTCTATGCCCCTAACCTTCGGAGCTCCGTCCCTCTACCCTTCTGTCTAGCACCCCCCCACCACCCCACTGCCTCTTCCACCATGCTTCTACCTTTGACCAACCTCATTGAATCCTTTGAAGAGGTAACAGAAAGAGTAGAGAAGGGTAATGTAGTAGATGTAATATATTTGGATTTCCAAAAGCCGTTCAATAAGGTACCGCATAATAGACGAATGAATAAGGTCAAAGAATGTGGAGTCAGGGGAAAAGTAGCAGAATGGATGGCAAGCTGACTACAAGACAGAAAACAGAGGGGTAAAGGGTAGCTACTCAGATTGGCAGAGGGTGGGAAGTGATGTTCCACAAGGATCGATATTGGGACCAATATAGTTCACAATTTAGATTAACTATTTGGACTCAGGGACTGAAATTACAATTTCAAAATTTGCAGACAACACCAAATTGAGGAGGACTGCAACAAATTACAAGACATTAATAAACTTGCTTTATGGGCATTTAATTGGTGAATTAATTTCAATATAAGTAAATGTGAGGTGGTATATTTTGGTAGGAGGAATACGGAGGTCACATACTGCCTGGAAAATAAAAATCTAAATGGGGTACCGATACACAAATCGCTAAAAGTAGCGAAGCAGGTTAATAGGGCCATTAAAAAAAGCAAACCAAGTGTTGGGGTTCATTTCTAGAGGAATAAAAATGAAAATCAGGGAAGTTATGCTAAACTTATATCGAACCTTGGTTAAATCACACTTCAAGTTTTGTGTACAGTTCTGGTCCCCATATTATAGAAAGGATATAGAGTCACTGGAGAAGGTGCAAAGGAGATTTACAAGGATGATACCGGAACTGCGAGGTTATACCTATCAGGAAAGGCTGAACAAGCTTGGATTCTTTTCTCTTGAAAAGAGAAGGTTGAGGGGTGACCTGATAAAGATCTTTAAAATTATGAAAGGTTTTGATAGGTAGACATAGGGAAGATGTTTCAACTTGTGGGGGAGACCAAAACTAGGGCCATCAATATAAAATAGTCACCAATAAACCAAATAGGGAAGTCAAAAGAAATTTCTTTATCCAGGGTAGTGGGAATGTGGAACTTGCTATCACAAGGAGTAGTTGAGGCGAACAGCATAGATGCATTTAAGGGGAAGCTAGATAGGTACAAGAGGGAGAAAGTAATAGAAGGTTAAGCTGGTTGGCTTAGTTGAGATAGGGCGGGAGGAGGCTCATGTGGAGCATAAACACTGGCATAGACCTGTTGGGCCGAATGCCCCATTTCTGTGCTGTATATTCTGTGTAATTCTAAGTCTGTGGTCAAACTTTGCCTTACCTCCTTGCTCACTGTCTGACTGTTACTGTAAAGCACTCTGAGACATTATCCTACATATGAAGGGCACTATACAAATGCAATTCAATCTTATTAAACATTTGAAACAAACAAAACAGATTTTAATCCTTTTGTGAACAAAATATTTCGAATTATTCATATTATCAATGCTTGCTAACAAAACAGGGCACAAATTCACAGATTTCTTTTACACTTTCTCTTCCCTTGCCATTGTCCCTTCCTCTGGTACTCCTTTTTTTCGTTCTCTTTGCCTCAATTTGCACAGAGGCATACCATGATACACAATAATAGTGAGAAAAGAGAGTCACGAGAAAGAAAATTACATGCTGGAAGGGCAGTTCAATTCAACAACTTGCTATTTTGTCTACACGTCTAAAAAAACAATTGTACTGCATTGAATACCACTTGTGGCCTCAGGAAAAATGCATTCCATTAATTCCATTATTTTTCACTGTTTGCTCTTCTTTATTTTCTGAATTTTATTCCTCATGAAGAACTGCCAAACCAGACTTATTCATTCAGAAATCTAGATTTCGACCAATAGCCAATGCTCTCTATACCCTCACTGTTTTTTTTGATTATAATGCAAGCAGAGTGTGTAGATTTCTAACAATGTCAAGCCATTTCTGCAAGATCTCAGTAAACGCCACAAAATACACAGTCAGATCACTGAAGCGCTTTGAGACATCTCAAAGATGTGATAAGGCACTATATCAAAAACAGGGATTATTATTATAACTTCAAACACACTATAATAATAATAATGTTTGTGATACTTGCCCTCAGTAAGTGAGGAAGCCTAATAACATTGGAGGGCGAGTTACTTTCACACCTCTCAAAGCATATACAGGAACAGGTCACCATCCCTCATACAGAAAAGGGTGATTTGCAGTGTGTGTCAGGGAAGGGAGGGGGGAAGGTAGAAAACAATCATGGAATAAAAACCTAGCAAAAGAGTTTCAAAAAAATACAAAGTAGACAAGATTAGAGAAATTAATTCTGCATCAATTCTTAACAGATTCAAGAAACCTTGAGAAAAGAAAAATGACTACTATTTCTTTCCAAATTGAGGATGGGATGGGTGGGAGAAAGTCATACATCATTCACCTCTGGGGTGTATATACAACAACAACAAAATTACATTTATAGAGCGCCTTTCACGTCAGCAGGACGTCCCAAAGCGCTGATTATACCACTGAATAATTTGTCCAAACTTCATAAGCAATTTTCCAAAATCAAATATTCACCTAGAATTATAAAACATCTGTAGCAAATACTTGTTTTTATAGTTTTTTTAAAGCTTTGTTGACCTTTGATCCAACACTGTATGCAGCATTAAATTCAAGTTCAAATTTTTCTGCAAGTAGGAAATCTGATCTTTATGTCAGTAGCCATCTGTATGGTACAACATCAAACGTGGGTCTCTAAAATGTTCAAAGTCATATGTTCCAAATCTATTTCTGCTGCCTGTATATTTATCTATAATTGACTTCACCAAAAAAATGAGCTCCTCTTGGGACATCTGGCCTTGAATCATCTACCTTCACACTGAAGTGCTCAGGATCCAAGATGGGGTTTTTTCAGAGCAAAAATGTTTTCCAACAGCCCCAGCTTCACGGGTGGCATGGATCCAACCAGACTCCACCAGAGAAAAATTCCCAACATCAAATTCCTACGTTCTTGCCAAGTCTTAAACATTCACACAAATATCCACCAATTGAATCTCACAATATCCACAAACAATCTTCATTTAATTCATGGCTACTTTCTAAATATTCATGTAAAAACGACGATGATATAACAGCACAAGTCCAATGTCAGACAAGCAAAAACATCAAGCTGTAAATCCATTTAAAATTTGAAGCTTTTAAAAAAATGTGTATACCAGGTTGATCATGCCCTCGTGAAAGCATCACCTGACATCATCGTCCTAAGAGCAGCAGCAATGTGCACACATATAGAGCTTTTCTCACAAGTTGAATAATATGTTCCTATTAGTAGGCATTGAATGGACGAAAACTAATGGATTTGGTCCTTAAGGTTCACTGCTCAAGCTTTACACTTGAGGAACGCCATCTGGGCGATTTAAGTAAGGCTGCTACTGCAAGTGAAAATATACAGATGCAAAACGCATTGGCTGCAGGAGAGAAGAATGAAGAGAAAACTGGAAGGGGCAAGAAAGAAAATGGAGGTTTCTGGATTTGTGCAGAATCCTGTATGACTGCAGCGTCTTGTAAGGAGAAAACAATATTGCAGTTTCTTTTTAAATAAATGACTGGAGATTTCAGACAGGTTTGGTAAACCTTTTTCGAAGTGTAATTAGGTAATGGAGTACATCTGAAATACTGGTAGGTTGCAGTTATAATGTCTAATGTATGATTAATCTATGAACCTTAAGTCATAAGCAACCACGAAAAATTAAAAATCAAGTAATATTCTTTCACGGACCACGTATAATCTATCCGATTTATTTAATGTTCCAAGGGAACTCCCAACTTCAAAGTAAATAAGTAAAAGCACACAATACCCATTTAACCACAGGAGTTATGTTATTCAATACTCATAAATATTTCAGGCTGGATTCTATAATCCCAATTTTGTGGGAACCATCATGTTTCAGAGTCAGGTCTCCTCAGGTATTCCTATAATCTTCAAACCAATTTTTCTACGATTCCCTATAACCTTCAAAATCATTCGTATCCAGATATTTATCCAGGGTCTTTTTTCCCATAAAGAAGGAGTTAATTGGGGCCACCTTCAATGACTCCACAAATTTATTCAGTGAAGCTCCAATTTCAATCTTCAATCTAACAGTCGTGGATTGAGTGACCAATCCATTTTTTTTTGAAAGAATTGTTACTCCTGGAAAAGCGACCCGCCAATAGGTAAACAGAGGCAGGTGGAGTAAGGAAACTTGCCCAACATTTCGCCCTGCCGGGAATTCAACCCAGGTCCCTTGCTTGCAAGGCGAGTGCTCTAACCACTGAGCTGCAGGAAAATAACCCTCATCACCATCCAGACCACATAATGCCATGATGTGATCCAAAATTACTCACTATATCTTTGTACAACTTTTTGCTCTAGCTTATTCAATTATATTTTGCTACTCTTCATCAAGCTTCTCATCTTTAATCTTTTGCCTAAAACATTCGCAATTTGCATCTTACAAAACAATTTTAAAACTGACAGTACTCCTGAGCTACAGCTATCAACATAGGGTTTAAAAATGTATCAATCGCCTATTATTCATAAAGTATTTATGCACACATTGCTGAATGAATTGTGACTATCAAAAAAAACACAAGTAACCAACTCACCTGTACACCATCCTTTAGCTTCAAGATACATTCCATAGTGTTTATGGTGATAACAACTGCCTCGGACCCCAGCTTTGTCCATGGTACATGGATCCTCAGCTCGTGAATATGTCCACTCAAGAAAGTAAAAGGCAACTTCAGCTCCTGAAAAAAAAATGCAAAATTAAAGATGAGAAATTTTCAATCTGAATTTGTTAATTTTTTCCCCTTCCTACCCACCAGGAAACCAAATACTTTGTCACTTCAAATAACCTAATTTGCATAACATTCGGAAGGCAGAGGGTCATTAATCTTCTTCTGACCAGGTCAAAATTATAATTTACAAAAGGAAATAAGACAAAAATAGGGTAGAATTATCATGGAAAAAGAAAATTCTTGAAAACATAATAGGCTTAATTAAACTGCTCCAATCAGAATATTATGTTTTCTCCATTAAATTATATTATATACAAAAACTACTATATACAATATCAGCATTATCTGTTATGGATCCACACAAAACAAAATCCTCTCTTCCATACATACCAAACATCTACCAACTATTACACAGAATAGCAAGTCATTCATAACTCACAGTAAAATGAAGCTCAGTATTTAACACTGTTCACTGGACAATAACAAACTCAACAATAATAATATTAAACCTTGCATTTAATATAGCATCTTATTACATCCATCACGTCTTGGCTCTGGAACTCTATCCCCCAGTACCTTCGCCGCCTCCTCCCTTTCCTCCTTCAAGGCCGGTCTCAAGACCTTTCTCTTTGACCGAGCCTTCAGCTCCCCTCTCGACTCTCTACCCCCTCCTCGCTCCCTCCCTTCCCTCCCCTCACCCTGACCATTTCCCCCTGCTCGGGTCCTGACCCAACTGTACAGCGCCTTGGGACGTCCTCCCGACATGAAAGGCGCTTTATAAATGGAATCCTGTTGTTGTTGTTGTTATTACGATGGGGGGGGAGGGGCGCGGGTTGATGTGGGGGGGAACTGGGCTGATGGGGGGCGCGGTGCTGATGGAGGGGCGTGGTGCTGATGGGGGAGAGAAGGGTGATGCTGATGGGGGGGGGGGGCCGTGCTGATGGCGGGAGGGGGCGGTGCTGATGGCGGGGGGGCGGTGCTGATGGCGGGGGGGGCGGTGCTGATGGCGGGGGGGGGGCGTGTGTGAGGGCGGTGGCGGGGGGGGCGTGCTGATGGCGGGGGGGGCGGTGCTGATGGCGGGGGGGGGGGGGCGGTGCTGATGGCGGGGGGGGGGCGGTGCTGATGGCGGGGGGGGGGCGGTGCTGATGGCGGGGGGGGCGGTGCTGATGGCGGGGGGGGCGGTGCTGATGGCGGGGGGGGCGGTGCTGATGGCGGGGGGCGGTGCTGATGGCGGGGGGGGGCGGTGCTGATGGGGGGGGGTGGCGGTGCTGTGTGTGTGGAGTTTAAGCGAGTAAGGATGTGTGTGACGGAGTTTGGGATGAGTTGAACCTTATGAATGGTGTTACTGGGGAGAAGAATTAGGATTTTAAAAGGCCTTTGCAAGAAACAAAGCAGAGGCAACCTGTCAATTGGATTGGTACCAGGAGAGTGCGTTCCAAAGAAGGTGGATGAGGGAGGAGAGATGATTAAGGAAGATAGAGCGGTCAGAAATTTCAAAAGTGGCACAGAGATCAAGGAAGACAACGAGGCAGAGGGAAACTTGGTCACAGAGACACAGAACATTGTTAGTTACTTTGATGAGGGCTGTCTCAATGCTGGTTGTTGGACGGAATCCAGGTTGGAGAGACTCAAGCAGAGAGTAGAGGGAAAGATGGGAGTGACTGAACATGATTGGCAAAAATGTGTTTCAGGATTTTGATGGGAAGGGTAGGTCGAAGATGAGACAGTAGTTGGGAGAGTTTGGGGAGATCAAATGTAGTTTTTTTTAGGAATGGGGCAATGACATCTGTTTTGAGTGGGAAAGGGCTTTGCCAGAAGACAGGGACAGGTTGAATCAAAAAGCCGTTTTAGGCTTTCAACTGGCTAGCATGTTGCAGGCTCCCTGCGCACCATTGGTTGCCGCATTTTGCCCTCAAAATATAGTCAATTCATTTTACAGTATATTCTCTCTAGCGCTTTAAGACGTCTCGAAGACATGATAAGGAGCCATATCAAATGCAAGAATTATTATTACAAATACAGGTAGGATTGATAGGTGACACCACAGCTAGGTTTTAAAAGCTTGTAGATTTTATAGAGAAATGAAAATTGAAGGAGTTAGGGGATTTCACGATCTTATGGCACTAAGAAAGAAAGTTATAATAGGAGATAATATGCTTTTAACACAGAGTATGCAAAGGAGGGAAAGGCGTGTTCAACAACATGCCCTGTTAAATGTATTTGTAGGTTGAGAAGAATAACAGGAAAAAGTTTGAACATCAAGTCATTACATTGATGATAACCACAAAGTAGAAAAGGATACGAGAGGTTGAAGGTCAAAGATGAGAAAAAGATCTGCAGGAATAAATGAGTTCCAGTAGCCACATCACAATTCAATTTTGCATGAATAATCCCAATCTTATCCACATTTTATTTATGCAACACACCCGGTTTTAACACTGAACTAACTCTTCATTGCTTTGGATGCATTTTGAATTCCTGACCTCACCTGATGGGCGGGGTGTTGATATAATTGGTGTTATGGTCAGGAATTCAAAGCTCTGTTTGTGATAACATTGTTTGAAACTGTGAAGCTGGAAATTAGGAAAGGAGGTATAACCCATTCAAATGAACAGCTGTGAATTGCCAGAGGCACAAACCAAACCATTGAGTCACAATGGGCGGTAACTAATTCAGCTGCATTTTAAATGAATCATGTCACAAAAATAATCAACAACAACATACAGTTATAGCTCTTGATGTAACCATCATCACTAATGTAACTGTCACAGTTATGAACACGGCACTCGATATGACGTGCTGTAAAGAATAAGTGTGCAAAACAACTGCTTTCTGAAGATCGGTCGTTGTGGCAACAATTAAAATTGTATTTGACAGAATTTAATATAAAACTGAAAATGTTACTCATTTTCTTGCAAGCATTTTCTTTCAGGAACACACTTAAAGACCTCTTCCGCTTCTCGTGATTACAGCTGCTGCTATTCTGTTTCAGGCAAATAAGAGGTCCAAGTTCACCTGTATAGACCAGCGACACTGTTTTCAACCTATTGACCTGTGCCACATAGCAAGGAAAGTCTAGTTAAGTTCATTTCTCATTGACTCCCAACCATCAACAATTGGGACTAATTGCATATTTGACAAGAATACCTCTACCCTCCTGAAATATGAAAGTTAAGAATGTGATGAATATATAGCTTATATGATGAGCGTTCTGGTATCTTGGATTTCTGATTTTGTATGAACGAGTTCAGCTGGGCTTTATAAAGGTTCACGGTAAAGTTTCAATTTTCATGGCTGCCATTTCTGATCTGAGGGGATGGCAGTTATATTTACAGCTCTGACCTCAACTAGGAGTCAGTTTTGTGACAAGGGTCCAACAAAAATTTAGGAGCTCCTATCATTTCTGCTTACTTCTCACCACTGTCTGAAAAATTAAGCCTAGAGAATTAATTAGAAAAATGAGGCGCACAATGTGCTGTACAATACAATACCAAATTACATGCGTACAGCGCCGTTCATGTCAGGAGAACGTCCCAACGATGTGGCCGGATGTGTGTCCGCAATTCCCTGCATGATAATTACAGTTCTCAGCAGCATGTCACTGGAGATACCAAACAGGGGCAAGACACTTCGACACAGTTATATGGAAGGAAACACTGTCACAATTTATATGGACTTCCAAGCCACCCGAACTATTCCTGTCAAACATCTCAAAAACAGTGGAGATGGTCCAAACTTCTAATCTAATACTTAAAAAGAAGAATATAAACTTTAGCAATTCAATGCAACAGATGTGGCAGAGACACTGCAAATACAATGAATATTTCACACACATCTGGAGAAGCAAGAGAGGTATGACCAAATTGAGATTTGTGGAGTTTGTAGCTCAGTGGTTAGAGCACTTGCCTCGCAAGCGAGAGACCTGGGTTAGATTCCCGGCAGGGCGAAACCTTGGTATATTGGTCTGAGTTTAAAATCTCATCTATAAGATGGCACCTCCAAGATTGTAGCACTCCCACAGCACTGCACAGCAGTGTCACCCTAAACTATCAGCTCAAAATCCTGACCAAGGTCTAATTTAATGAGGTCTGGCATGAAAAAGGATATTACAAAATATGCACTAAATGGAACAGGAGAAAGACCTTTAGATTTTCATGGATTGGTCACCGAATCCATCTGCAGTGTTCTCAAGTAGTTAAGAAACCAAATTAGTGGAATAAATATAGCTACTAATGTACACAACTAGATGAACCATTTCCAAACTATTTAACACTACACATCTTATAATATGGAGTTCAAAGGGGGCAATGCATTAAAAGAGTCTGCATTGTTTTGGTTTATGTAGAAAAAATTCATTATTGCCTTACTTACATTCCTCACAATGTTAATCACATGCAACACACCATTACTCATGAACACGATTACTTTAATAAAACATGCTCTTATTTTAAGTCATGTTCAAAGTCCATCAAAATGAGAATCCATCTGGAGTAACAAAGAAGTCACAAGATTATGCATAATCATTTCATTTTTTGAGGCATGAAAAATGATACCGTCTCTTCCATCTTTAGCCTGATTGAAGTAAACTGTTACACGTGCTGGAAATAATTAATCTGAAATTCCACAGGGTTTCTAACAATTTCCTTGCAAAACTAACACTACATGCATAAATACCAATTTAGGGTAGGGAAACACACTTAATTAATAGCAATGGTTTTAAATTCTAACATATTTCCCTTATTTCATGTGCACTGTAAATCATGACAAACATGTTAAAAATTGCTCTAAAAATCTTCAATAGGGAATTTTTGTTTGCAAGCTAGAGGCACTTTTACAAGGTACTCTACGTTTTATAAAATAATTAAGCAGAAATAGAAAAGTCTCTGGAGCTTCTGAGTTGGTACATTCAGCTAACCTGAAATGGAATATCATTTGCCCTCAATAGTGCAAAGTGTGCTGAAGGTCACAAAAGATCAATAAACTATGAAGTTCTCCATTAAAGAGACTTCACAGAATGTGTTCAAAGACGAATAAATATGAAAGCTAAGTGGAACAAAGCAAATGATCAGCCACTTTCAATGAGCAATTTTAGTGGATAGAGCCAGAAACTTGGTCTGCAAGCCATAAAACATTAACAGCATAATCAGCAACATTCATAGAGTAACATTTGAAACTGGGTCCATACCTGCTCTAAAACATCGAGTTTCAGTTCAAGTTTACTCAGAACCACGTCACCTCCCCATAGTGACAGCTGTAGGTCTGATGGCTTCAGATTCTTGATGTAACGATCTACATAGCTCATCAAGATCGGAGTCACATATGACTCCAACATCCTAGAAAGGTTCGACCACTGTGAATAATAAGAAAGGAACAGTGAAACCTATGATTGTTCAGCAACTATACAAAATAACCAAGCACTAAGCTCATCACAAGTGTGAAGTATTTATGGGTGGGAAGAGTTAATGAAACTACCTATCTGAAGTCAGAAAGTGTGAACTGATCTGATTAACATCATAGAGACTTCAACATTGCTTAAACAGAGTGGTCAAAAATTCAAACATGTATTTTGGCTCAGTCGGTGTGCCAACCCCTCTCAGCTAGTGTGCCAGTCCACCTCAGCACTGAGCAAGCATTTTGTGATGATTAATTATTGAACTACACCAGTGTTCTGACAAAAACAGACTGTGTTGGGATAATCTTCATTGTCCCCTGGATGGGCTAATAACTGCTTTTGTAGGCACAGCATTTTTGGGAACATACTGTATCAGTTGATTGGCAGATCGCTTCCTGTGGGTAATAATCCCTTCAAAAAATATGCGTTCACCCAATCCATTACTGTTTGTGGGAGACTACTGTGCGTAATTGGCCACCGCGTTCCACCCACAAAAATTGCAATCTATTCTGTGAAGCGCTTTGTTATGTTATTAACAAGTGTACCTATTGCTTTCCATCCTGAACTCTTAAATAGAGATACTTATCATTCACACCATGGAATCATTTTAATATGAAAAAACTGAACAAAGTACCATAAGATACATGCACTCTCCTAGAATCAGATTAACAATCCCTCAGATACAATGATGGCTGTTCAGAGCCCTTACCAAAATGCATTTGAGCTGTCTCAGTGTAGTTCCCTGAGCAATTGAAATCATATAAATAAACCACTTGCACAATTTGCAAAAATAATTTGGAAAATTCATTCTAAGTGGATTTTTATACCTTTGTATTCTGCCTCAACGAATAATATGGATTTGCTTTTTGCCAATTTGCTTTGTTCTGCTTTTAATTGTTAGAGGAGAGGTAGGTCCTCAATAAGGTATTTTATATTGTTTTGTAAATTGGTCACTCACTCCATGGCTGTTTGTGGAAAATTGCAGTGCGCAACTGGCTGCCGCATTTCACCCACTTCATTTCACTTCAAAGGTTCACTTTACTGTATGACCTGGGAAGCACTTTGAGATGTTTAATAATGTGATAAGGCGCTATATCAAATCCAAGGAGTTTTCTAATTATTATCAACAATTCTGATTCAATAAAAAATCTTCAGTATTAAATCTCAAATTATTAGCAAAACCCAATAAGTGTAACATCTGAATTCATGAAATCAGAAGTAAGTACTCACACAGCGAGTATTTAAAAACTGGAGAATACTTTTATTCTTTTAAGCATTATTTCTGCTGTTTTTGAACTGCACACATCTTTCACCATATTGCTCACCTGAAAATAAATATATTGGTTCACTTTCTAATCGGACTTGAGTGTTGAATCTTCCAAATGACTTGCAGCTCCCAGATCAGCTGTTTTGACCCTCTCATGAATCAAATCTGCATAGACTGGCCAAAAATCTGATCTGTAAAGATGCTCATCGCATGTCTAAAAATGTCCAGTCATAATCATCCTAAATTTCTTATTCTCCAAACAATATCAATCCAGCTATTTTGCTCCCAATCTAGGATCCCTTACATTCACTGCTAATTGTATGGCACCTTGCCAATATGTCTTTTGAAAGTTATCATAACATTTACTGAATTATTCCCCATCTGATTAACTTTGCCACTTACTTGGGAAAACCTTGTCAAAATATAAATTTTCCTGTTGATTTATTCTCTTCGTTTCTCTCCTGAAGTAACTGACTCATGCTACAATCTATTTCTACTGTTAATGGCTGCGACCCAATTCCTCATCCAAGTGGTCATTCTTCTTGTGAGAAACTGGACAGTGCACATCAGCCAAACCTGATCCTGCCCCTATCCAAAGCCCTTCGCTCACCAAAAGCTTTAGATAACTATCAGGAGCAGAATCTCTGGCTGACTATTCCCTCTCTACGCCAAGAGCAATGAAGTTAATTGTCAAATCCTCCACTCAGCAAACTCAGTGCAAGTCCAGAGACTGAGTCTGAGGCCTTCTTGGTCTGCGTGACTCACAGGTCAGAAATGAGCCTGAGATATTTTCACTTTGTGTGACTCTTCCACATGATACAGTATCTTTGAATTGGGCTACCTTGGAGTGTTTATAAGCCTGTTAAACTTTCAGACAGTCAATATTCTTCAACAACTGGCCCTGATAGATAGATAGATATTATAATATAATAAAAAAAACTTACAATATTTTCCAGTATCAATATGAGATAACTCATTTTAACATTTGTCATAAAAGCTCACACTATTTTCATCTCTTTCTGGTGCTCCCATTGACTCACCCAGGTTTAAATGAGGAAAAGAGAAGAGTTATCAAGGCCACATGTATATCTTATGGTGCCTCGTGAAGTTAGAAGCCCAGGAACAGTTCATCTGCTATCTTGGCATGCGACTAAGGGGGAATCCTTAGAATAAAAACACATGTTTTAAACAACAACAATTTTCATGTAGCATTCATCACACAGCATAGTGTCTGAGCACTATATTGTGGCAGGGTTGAGCAAGGGAGAAGCAGGGGTGAGATGATCATCAGTATGGTCTAAGAGAATCTCCAGATGGGATTTAATGATAAAGAGGGGACTAGGCAGAGTGATTGAGGCTGGGATTTCCAGAGATTAGGGGTACAGTGGCTGAAGATACAAGCACCGATGGTGCAGAGGTGTTGGGTGAATGCTTGCTCGCTGAGCAAAGGGGACAGGAGGAGTAGTACGAGCAGATCAGCAAGTTTTAATCAATTGTGCTGAACTGTTTTCCATCTCTAGGATAAGAATGCTTTCCAATGAACTACAAAATAATAATCCTTTCTTCCCTGATTAAATAATAATAATCCTTGCATTTGATGTAGTGCCTTATCACATCTTAGCGACGTCTCAAAGTATATTCTTTATACAATATACTGTAAAGTGAATTGATTGTATATTTTGTGGGCGAAATGCAGTAGCCAATCACGCAAAGCAGTGTCCCACAAACAGTCTTGGTTGCGTGACCAAACTATTATTTTTTTTAAAGGGATTATTACTCCCGGAAAACCGATCCACCAATCAACCAGGTTCCTACTTACTGCTAGATAAACAGAAGTGTGGAGTAAGGAAACTCGCCTAGTGTTTTGCCCTGTCCAGGAATCGAACCCAGGTCGTCTCACTTGCGAGGCAAGTTCTCTACAGGATTCCACAAAATTATCCATAGGGTGCATTTAAAAGAAAACCCGGAAATAACTCAAGACTATTCCTTTCCACACACCCGTGCTGCTCATTGAACTCCTGGGTAACTTAAGTCTCATGACTTTCCAACAACCTTCTGTATATCCAAAGTACTCGGGCAGCCTGACATTTTGGCATGGTGGTTATTTGTTGTTGATGGCCCAGAGTTCCATCCAATTCGGCGAATGCATTTTTATTATAGGCCTCTTTCACCACTCCTCAACAATTTTAATGCTGTGCACTTTTATCCAAGGGCATTCCTGCCACATAATAATATTTACATTTGGTATTGTGCCTTTCAAGTTAGAAGGATGTCCCAAAGCGCTTCACAGGAAAATATGGTATAGCATCTGATATTGCGCTTTATCACGTCTTCGAGACGTCTCATAGAGCTTCACAAAATATATTGTAAAGTGAATTGACTGTATACATGGTAGGCGAAACAAATCAACCAATTGCGCGTAGGAGTGTCCCGCAGTGTCGTCGATTGAGTGACCAAGTTATTTTTTGAAGAGATTATTACCCCTGGAAAAGCAAGCCGATAATCAACCAACAACCAGATTCCTAATTACCCAGGTAAACAGGCGTGTAGAGTAAGGAAACTTGCCCAACATTTTGTCCTGGATATACTGTAAAGTGGTACAACTGTATACTCTATGGGCAAACGTTGCAACCAATTTTGTGCACAGCAATGTTCCACAAACAGTCCGGAGTGAATAACCAATTGTATTTGGAGGATTACTGACCAGCACACCGGAGGAAACTCGCTTCTCTTTTCAAATAATAATATAGGATTTTTAACATCCATCTGAACAGACAGATGGGAGCTCAGTTTAACATCTCATCCAAAGGATTCACCTCTACCAATTCAGCACAGCCCCCAGCACTGCATTGGACTATGTGTTACAAATCCTCGACATGGGGCTTGACACAACATGAAAAAAATACCTAATTATCCTGCAAAGTAATTGGCCTGTAACAGACCCCTATTTCCAAGGCAGCAAGTAGAAACAAAGCACAAACACCAACACAGTGGTAACATCAATAACTTTGCCTTCACAGCCAACTCATTTGGTATTTCAAAGCAGATGGATCCATATAGGGTGGAATGCAAACAGACAGATGTCAAGAAACCATCTTTGAAACTCTCCAAAACAGTGTCATCCTGAAACCCTATACCTTTAAATGCAAATATCTTGAATGCAAAACTGACCAAAATATTTTGATTCAAAGGGAAGAATTTATTTAACTACAAGAATCTACAGCCTGACCACTAAACACTGCCAGTACAATTTTCCCAAACCTTTGCTCCAGGTAACAACCAGTCTTAAATTCACGAGACACATCAAACCTCAGTTGTTTCGGCTGTGCCCTGTTGTGCATTGGTTAGAGCTCTCATCTCGCAAGCGAGAGACCTGGACTTGATTCCCGGCAGGGCGAAACGTTGGGCAAGTTTCCTCACTCCACATGCCTCTGTTTACCTAGCAGTAAGTAGGAACTCAGTTGTTAGGCAGGTGGCTTTTCCATGGGTAATAATTCCTTTGAAAAAATAATAAATAATAAATTGGTCACTCAATCCAAGATTGTTTGTGCGACATTGCTGTGCACAATTGGCTGCCACTTTTCGCCCCCAAAAATACAGTCAATTCACTTTGCAGTATATTATGTGAAGCGCTTTGAGATGTCTCAAAGACATAAGGCGCTATTTCAAATGCAAGTATTATTATTATATTGTTAATACATTAAAATTGCTACCTTCTGAACCAATTCGCAGAAAAGTGGTGCAGAATGTTGCATTCCTTTGGCACCTGCCATTCCCTAACATGATCATCTTCCACATTTACTGTTTGTGTACTGTACTGTTTGTGAAAAAACTTAATCAGCAACATACTAGTCAATACTCCAGGGCGTGGAAGGATAATAATAATAATCTTTGCATTTGGTATAGCGCCCATCATGTCTTCGAGACATCTCAAAGTGCTACACAGGATATACAGTAAAGTGAATTGACTATATTTTGTGGGCAAAACCCATATTTTGTGGGATGACTTGTTACAATAATTATTATACAACTACTGCAACAATAATAATCAGATACAAGTAACAATTATTGATACAAGTGTAACAATGTATTCATACAACAGATGTAACCTTCAAAGCCCTCCATAGCCTTTCTCCCCCTACCTCCGCGACCTCCTAACCCCCTATCAACCTGCCCGTTCCCTCCACTCGGGGGCTCCGTCCGGCCTGCTTCACGTCCCCCGCGGGCGAGCCTTCTGCAACTCTGTCCCCACCCTCTGGAACTCCACCCCGCAGTCCCTCCGCCTCACCCCCTCCCTTGCCTCCTTCTAAACCCATCTCAAGACCCTCCTCTTCGACTGTGCCTTGGGACACCCTCCTCCCCCCCCCCCCCCCACACAATCCTCACGATCCCAACCTCCGCACTGAATGTCCATCGCCTTGAGACGTCCTCCCAGTGTGAAAGACACTGTACAAATGTCACGCTGCTGTTGTAGCAATAGTTGGAAGAGATCAGCACATGCATTGAATAGGGCGTTAAGCTTTTCTTGCCCAGAGCCTTGCACTGACCTCATGTCACTAGGTCTTATTTAAAAAAAAACATGCTTTTAATCCTAGATTTTGATTTTCATTTATCCTTTTCATTAGCAGTTATGATGGAGGGGGCAAATGTATGACATGCAAATCGACACACTTTCCAACATTTTCTTTCAACTGCGTGCAGTCGAGGGCCTTGTAAAGCTCACGCATCTGTCAAAACGACCAGGTATGCATTTTTAGTATGTGTGCATTGATGAAAAGGGTCGAGCTCGGTAACAACTAAGCTGTGGGGTCAAGAGGCCGGTTGGTTACCGGGTTAATCACAATAACTCTGGCGTTAAATACAAGGTTCAGGTGTTTCAACAGGGTCCCAGCACAAGCAGCCAGGGAGGGGGCTGTGGAGTGGGTTGGGGAAGGGGAGAGGGAGGGAGGAAGAGGGTGGGAGTCGTCTTCTCCCCTCGGGGTGGGGGGAGACAGGGAGACCCTCAATAGGCAAAGTCAAGGCTCAGAGCGGCCAGGCCAGGCCAGGTCAGGGCCACACAACCTCCGCGCTGTCCAGAGGAACGCACCTCCTATTCCTCCTTCTCTTCCTCCGAGGCTCACAGCAGCACTGCCTGTCATTGAGGAGCCGCGTCCACGTCAGCCATTTGCTGACACACGCACCGTGTGGAGGAGCCGCTGTTCTTCCCAATTCCTCGCTGTTTCACGTTAAACCGCCGCCGCCTCTTCCAATGGCTCTCCTGTCACCAACGCAACTCGCGCGCGGGCGGGCGGGCGGGCGGGCGCGGGCGCACACACACACGCACGCACGCACGCACACGCGCGCGCAGGATGACCGGCGGCGGCGGCGGTGCTGGTCTTCCGCTATCCCGAGATGCAGCGCGATGCGAGAGCCTGTGTACAGTGCACACAAACACACACGCGCGCAGTCTTCTCACTCACTCTCTCTGCGGTCCTCCACTATCCCGACGTGCAACGCTCCCCCCCCAAAAAAAAGCGAAGCCGCCGAGCGCGTGGACAGCCTCAGCTCGTGCCGAGCGCGTGCCTGGTGGCGCGTCATAACCGCCACAAACTGACCGTTGGGAGGGGAGGAGGAGGAGAAGAAGCTCGTGAAGAGACCGAGCAGTTCGCCGCTCACCTGACTGCTTCGCCCGGCGTTGGTGAAGTAACTGCTCCCCTCTCTCTCTCGCTCTCTCCCGGGTACGACCGGGTTTTTTTTCCGCTCGAGCTGGGCCCGGTTCTTGAGTGCCGTTCCCGGTGGTGGAGGAGGAACCGGGGGCGGAGCGGGAGGGGGTAAATCAGGGCCTCCCTCTTTGTTTGTTTACGGTACGAACGGGTATTTTTTTTGTGTGTCCCATACAGTCCCGACCCCTTGTGGGAGGGCGGAGGGTCATTGGAGGAGAGCAGAGGATTGGGACGTGTAATGTAAAGTGTATGGAAGCTGATTCGATAACAACTTTTAAGAGACAAGTAGGTAATTATTTGGGAGGGGGGAGGGAGGGAGGACTATGTTGAGTCCTGTGTTAGTCCTTTGTGGGGGGGGGAGGGACTATGTTTAGGTTTGTGGAGGCTCTCTTCGGAGAGCCCGGCACAGACGGGACCGGGCCGAATGGCCTCCTCCCGCGCCGCGTCGCTCTGCGACTCTGCCGTAGTCCTGGCGTTTGGGAGAGCGCGTCTTCGAGGCGCCTCGAAGCGCCCCACCGACTGCCCGGTAAAGCCGAGTGACTATTTTTGTGGGCGAAGCGCGCCGGCAGCGGCGGCGTCCCACCAACAGCCGTGGATCGAATTGACCAACTTATTCTGATATTTGTATTGAATCGGGTGTTAAGAATGATAATAATCCTTGCACTTGATATAGCGCCTTATCGCATTTTTTTTTAAAAAGAAGGCGGATTATTACCATACTGGAGGGAGCGAAGGGGTTGGGCTTCTAAGGTGCAGTAGACTTCTGTGGTGCTGTGAACAGAAAAAACAATCGTGACTCCTAAAAATATTTAAGATGAGTTTGATTAGACGTTATTTAAAAGGTCATTTGCAGTCTACCTTCGTTCCTGCCTCTCGGGTTAGAGCTTTAAATTCCAGAGGACTATTCATCCTCCCTCCCCTCCCTCCCTCAAGGCACCAGATGTGGTAACCTTGACTACAGGTGGGTTTAAAGGCACAGGTGCAATATGCTTAATTTCTCTACCTACAAAACAGTAAATAAGCAACAACAAAAAAAGTCCTAAATAACCCTTTTTTATGCTTGCTGCTCTGTCAGTAATGTACATCCCCAGGATGTCTTCCGCTGCCTGTTAGCTAAATTCTCTTCAGGACAATGTCATTACTCATCACTTGTACTCAGTATTATAAATCCTAAGTGTTCCCCAACTATCTGTGTTGTGCACTAATTGATGTTAAGTGAATGATGTGATCCCATTGTTTCCTCTGACGTGAATCCAAACTCTAACGCAGAGGAATAAAACTAGCAATCCACCCACCATGTTTTCTTTCCTTCTGTACTTTCATGTACTAATATTCTGTTATATCAATTCTAATAAAGTACAAACTAAGAGTTGGTGAAGCATGCAAAAGACTACCTTTAGTGCTGCTGTTCTATTCATCATCAGGGTCAGTTGTGCAGAGGGGTTCAAAATGCTGCTTTGTTAACAGGGTAAGCTATATTAGGGATGACTAGATAAGGTGGGTCCCTTTAGTGTAAAAGCTGGATCTCAAAAGGGATGTGAGATGCTAAATTAGATCAAGAATGCAAATGTTTGATATAAATTGCCTTTTTATCACATTCTGCATCGGTGCAATGTAAAAGCTGCATCAAACAATGCAAAACATACTGTTAAAAGGTTACTGATTACTTTTCAGCTACACATTACTATGTTCATAGGAACAGGAGTAGGTCATTCAGCCCCTCAAGCCTATTCAGCCATTCTAAAAGGTCATGGCTGATCTGTAACTCAACTCCAATTATCCACCTTTGCCTATCTATCCATATCAGTCATGAAAATTTGAATGTTTGGCACTGAAATATTGACTAGTGGACGAACCAAGAATTTGTTCCAAGTTAAATATAGAAAACAGGCTACTTCAGGAACCAGTGACTTTACAGAAAATAAATCACTAAGTGGTTATGCTGTCACAACATGAGTAGTTTATCCTGTCGCAACAGCCAGTCTAATGTATTCTGAGAGCATAGATGTCGAGTTTTTTTAAAAAAAAAGTAATTATTTTTGACGAAAGTTGCCAGCATTGAATTGGAGCCTCGGGACATCACACTTCATGAAAAGAGAGCATTAATTGATTGAATACTCCCAATCTATCTACCACAAATGTTGTATAAAATGTTGATGCGTGCTACAAGCCTTGTAAGGGTAAAATAAACTTTTGGAAGTTGTATTAAAATGTGATACTGCAGTTTTTTGCCTTCTGACTTCCTTCGTATTGTGAGATCAAACAAGCTCTGGGAGCAATGTTGATATTCATACCAAATCTGACACTCACTTTGCAATATAAAACAACTTAAAATGTTGTAACTTTGAGAAGCATTAGCAAGGTTATGGAATGTTTTAATTAAAAAAAACCTGCATGAAAAATGAGCATTTTTTCATTGTGTTACATGTCAGTTCATCATTTTGTTGAGTGCAGTGAGTCCGGCGAAGTGACACTTGCCTTTAATTAATTCCAACTTCTGACATGTTTGTGACAGTTGTCCAACTCCAGTCAGCAGCAGCTGGTTGCAGTAACTCCTTTGCGAATGCTGAAACATATTCCTCACTGCTAGGCACTGAAAGCTCATAATCTGGCACACAGCTGAATTTTTTGGCACTGATGAATTTTGCTCAGCAGCCCAAAGTGTGTAATCAGGACCCAGCACTTGTGCCACTGGGTTGTGGGATCAGATGTTGGTTTCTCAAATTGATCCCCTGATTGCTAAAACCTATTCTGCACTTGAGAATGATGACTGACTACCTCAACATACAAGTGTTTCTCAAAGTTCTTCAAGCAGGCACTCGTACAATTTTACTTATCATCCCCCTTGAACTCCTTTCGCAGAGTACTTCAATGTTTTCATCAAGAGTAATATTTAACTGAATGCAGCTGGATTTTCCCTCATACAGTAAAGTTAATCATGAACCACTGAAATAGGTTATCTTTGGAAAATGGCCAATGAGAGGGGAGGGAGGGGAAACTTCTGAAGAGGTCATAAAGTTTTCATCTTTAGACATCACTATAAAAAAAATTTAAAAGATGATATTTACCAAAAACAAAGTCTGAAAAGCACAGTTGTACATTTCTGAAGGGCCATTTAAAAAGTAATGCAATATTAGACCTCTTCAAAAACGTAAACATTTTTGCCAGGAAAGACAACTAAGCACCACTCAAACCACTGGATCCCACCATTTTAGAAAAGAGAACATTCTGCTGATTTTTTTAAATATTGTTTTGATGCATTGTGAACTAGATTGTTTATTGAAACTTCATGAAGGGTAATGCTTGTGGAGCTCTCCAAAGGTCTTGGAAGAAGAGGTTCTGATTGAACTGGAGCAAGTACCAAGATTATAAATGAATTGTAGAAAGTTTTCTCTTTCATCTCCCTTTGTTCCCACCCCCAAAACCATCTGCACCTAAGGGTAAAACACAGGTTGGGCCATTATTTAGTAAGAAAGGAGTGATTGTATCCCGCAGATATCGCAAGCCAATTCCCACAAAAAGTTTTACAATTTTTATGGTACTAAAGCTCATCTATGTATATGCAGAATAGTGAAGTCTAATAAAACTGCTTTAAACTGGGTTTTGATTGGGAGAGGGGTGGAATAGGATTCATTGAATGCATTCTGAGTTGTTTCCTAAAAAATTAGAACCATTGGGGAGAAGGTGATACTTAACTTAGTTCTGAACAGTGAAGTGGAAAGAAATAATTATTTAATATTTAAATAAGCAGAATCTTGAGAATAGTAATAATTTAATCAAATTCAATCTAATGCCTGGGCAGAACCGAGTTACAAACTAAGTGTCTGAATTTTTAAATAAGGAAAATCTTTGTCGGAATGAGAGAGGAATTGGTTGTAACAGATCAACGAGGAATTGTTCATTGGGAATTTGGTCGAGAAACAGCAGTCATTTATTGAAGTGCCTTTTGGGTATTACAGAACTTCTGACACCATGTAATGATTCTCACAATTTTGGTGTATAAAACAACCATTTTATTCTTAATGAATTCCAACCATCAAACCACAGCAGTTGTTGTCCGAGAATCCCTTTTTATGCGTTGTATTCTTTCATTGGTTCCCAGTTGATTGTCTATTTCCTCTTAAAGGGCTATCCAACAATCCTATGAACAGGTGATTCAAGCACAGATTCCTTTAACGCACCGCACACAAACCATTCTCCATTTCAACTTACATCTCTTATGTCTGTACTAACTTCCCTTTTGCCAGTTACAAGTCCACGTCCATACCTTGCTCGATAGCCAGTTGCATTAATTTGTAATTTACATTTATTTTTCCTGCAGACAGCATGCTTATTGCAGCTAACAAAACACTCTAAAATGTAAATGTTGTTCCTAACTGTTTAAAAACAACAGAATGTTTGACCTTTTATCATTTGTGTTGATTATGAGCATTTTGCATCAAATAATGCAAAGTTGTTTAAAGCCACATTTGAACATAATGCATTTATCGTATGTATGGAATGTTTAACTTACATCAAATGTTTGGATGCAAGTGAGTGGCACTGGCAGCGAGTTCCCAATGAATTTGCAGTC